ACACAGCAGCTACAGCGCGTCCTCCACCAGGTGTAAATATCATCGTTCAGCAGAGGAGGAAGATCGCAAATCGACATGGGAAACGTCTTCCTCCTGCTCTAAAGACACAAATAAGTCCTCATATTCAAACTTTGACTTGAGTGAAAGTGCTAAACTATTTTTATTCTTGAAATTGAAAATGATCCAAGACACAGGAACTCATCAGAAAACAGAAGACTCTCGTTATAGGTTTTAAATTAGGAGGTTCTTCTCCATCAGTGATGCAAACTGTGACTAAAGTTTATATATATTATTTGAGGTAATTTAACCTTTAATCCTTTGTAATGCATATAATATTACATATTTCATAAAGTGCATAATCTGCACTTTATGTTCATTTTGTAAAGCATGGCAAAAATGTGAATTTAGCAAAAAGTAAAAAAGGAAGAAATCCCTGTTGAGTAAATTTAAAGTAAGAATGAGACATTTTCTGATTTTTTTAATTGAGCTAGACTCCCTGCTGCTGCTGCTGTGGTAAGAACATAAAAGGTTGGTATTAATAGTTATATTTCTACAAACTCTGGATGTTTTTTCATACCTGAAACCAAATACTCTCAGCACACTCTAAGGCAGAACCACCAAAAAAAAAAAAACCTCAACAAGTTCAAAATGTACGTACACCCGAGTGCTGCAGACAAAAAAAAAAAAAAGCGACGCTGCTCTGTGGTACAGTGCCGGGTTACAGAGAGACTGGAACCTCTGGCTGAAAACACATGAAATAGTCTGACATGATACTTATCGACTAGTCCACGGCACCACGCTTGCCCTCGATGACCTCGGGGAGAGAGAGAGAGTGATGGGAGGCGAAGGAGGAAGACGGACAGGGAGAGGAAGAGACAGAGAGATGGTGCAGAGACACGCACAGGGAAGGAGAGCGTTGGAGATTATCGAGAGTGTGAAGTGAGAAGGAGAAAAAATAAAATATAGTCTGAAAAAAATGAGAATGTGTTGCTTCTTGCTCCTTTGAGATTCAATAAAATTCATTTTTTTTGTCAAATATCTGCAGCTGTAAATATGTGAGGTGAAGGATGTGTCATATCTTGATGTGTGTGTATGCACAGAGGGCCGTATAAATATATATATTTTTGCCCTCTTTGGTTGATCTCTGTGCCTCAGCGCAGGGTCAGGCATCCATTTTAGCAGGGCTCTAATCTTCAGCAAGCGCTCCTACATTTTGTGAGCGAGGAAGCCAACACTCCTACATTTGGAGAGGAGAGGAGAGGACGCACACACTTGTGTCTTGCAGCGAGGCGGTGCGCGCACTCCTACATTTTATTTTTTTGTTGTTTTTCTTTCCAGGGCATGACGACGACAAGTAGCTCGACATCTGACGACGGGAGAGGCAAAAAAAATAAAAAATCCTCCCTGCGTTTTTTTTTTTTTTTTGTTGTTCAAAGTGATCACCTTTAAAACATTTAAGGTGCTGTGACATGGAAGGGCTTGATGTTCGCATTCTGCCCATGAGGAAAAGTTGTTTTATGAACAATATACCGTCTTCTCCGTCTCGTGGTTACATAAGAATTCTAAATACATTGTTAGATTTTCCACGTAAAGCACAAACTGTCTAGACTTTCAAATTGTAAGACCTGGGAAATGGTCCGGAGGGTAAATCTGACTTTTGAAGACTTTCCAAAAATGGGATCCTGTGTGACATGCTGCACCCCGTTTGAACAACCCCTGGGCTTCTCCTCGAGACTTACAGCCCTAAACAATCCCCCCCTGCTTTCCTTTTTCTTTTTTTTTTTTCAACCATCATCTGAACCCCTGTGCAACCCCTCCCCCCCCCCATGCCTCCCCCTTTTCAAGCTCATTAAGTTAGGATGCCTTATCAGAGGGCACACTCACCCCTCCAAGGCCCTAAACACATGCATGTGCGCGCACACACGCAATATCCGAGCTGGCTTGATAAAACCTATTGTTCATACATGCACACACACACAATCACCGATCTCTCTCTCACACGCATGCACGCACACACACACACACACACACACACGCACACACACACACACATATATAGAAACCCCTGTTCTTCCACTTCTCCCTCCAAACCCTCACCCATCTCTAACCCTCCTCCACCTCCACCCTGAACTCTCCTCCTAATCAACTCTTCCCATCCCTTCTCCATCACCCTCCACTCACCCAAACCCCCCCCCCCCCACCCAGCTCTGGAGGGACACATTTTAGCAGAGAGGAAAAGGATGAGAGAGAGAGAGAGAGAGAGAGAGAGAGAGAGAGAGAGAGAGAGAGAGATGGGGGAGACAGAGAGGGAGAGAAAGAGATGCACTCCTCCTCTCTGCTCGGCTGCCACAGCGGCTTGGCTACAGAAGCCTTTGATGTTCTGCAAATTTCAAATTTCATTATAGAGAACCCCTCCCTCCTCTCCTCTCCCTCTCTGCTCTCTCGCTTAAACAAGCTTTTCTGCCTCCCCCCTCCCGCCCTCCCTCAACCCCCCCCCCCAATGCTGAAGTTAAGAAACTGAAAGCCCTGCAGAAGAGACTCTTCGTATGGGTTAATTATTCATTGGGCTGGGCGTGTATGTGCCAAATGTATGTCTGAGTGTGTGTGTGTGTGTGTGTGTGTGTGTGTGTGTGTGTGTGTGTGTGTGTGTGTGTGTGTGTGAGTCATGTGCTGGCAGTAGGGTGGAATCTGGATTTTTGTGATGCCTGTCTTATCTCTGATCGTCTTAGATCGCCTCCTCCTACTCTCTCATGTCACTCTAACATGCACCCACTTCTCCCGATATAGAGCATCGGCCTTTTAGGATAAAACACAAGCGCTAACACACAACCTCGGGCGCCCGGACGGACACACACACACACACACACACACACACACACACACACACACACACACACACACACACACTGCAAACCCCTTCCTGTGTTGAGATGCCATTTTCTAGCCCTGGCGTTCCTCAGACTCAGCATCAATGCGGCAAAAGGCAACCATTTCAGGACAGGAAGCTGCCATTTTGGTTCAGAGCGTGTCAGCGGCTTTTGAGGAGCAACGTGTCCCAGTGGCCCCTCGGATGAAACTGGGGTGCCAGTGAAGTGGTTGACAGATCGACGGTGTCAGCACAGCGATGTCGGGGTGAGAGAAGGAGGAATGAGACGGAGGGCTGTTTCTCCTGTGGATGTTGGTAGACGTTGGTGTGTTCTGTGAGCGCCGGCTGTAAACTGGGTTAAGGTTCTCTGCCGTTTTCTTGGCACAGAGGCGACAAGAAGACGATATTTCAACCCTAGGCTGTCGCAAAAAGATAATAAGATCATATTTGGCGTAGTTGGTACATGTCAGACAGACATGCATGCCTATATCTTTATTTTCAGGATATGATGATCTACTCCTTAATCCCACTAGAAGAGACGTTTCAGGACATTAGACGACAGAATATTTTTAGAACATTTTAATATTTTTGAGGTTTTATTTGAAATTTTCAAATATTCTGAACATGCAGCATATATCTGTATACTTATTAAGATAAATCATAGATGTAAGAGTGTAGCAGGGATGTATCAACCACATACACAGAACATTGTGAGCAGTTGTGGATTAAAAAAAAAATACTATAAGGGCACCTGTGTCTAGCGGTTAGTTTGTGTGCCACATGTACGGAGGCTACAGCCCGGGTTTGAATCCGACCTTTGGTGCCTTGCCCGTCTTTCTCCACTCTCTCTTTTTGATTTCTGACTCTATTCACTGTCATGTCTCTCCAATAAAGACACAAAAATCACCAAAATAAATCTTAAATAAACTATTGATAGAGTATTAAAAATAATTTTTCAAATATTGAAGGACTCCGTTCCTTGTATGCTCGTCTCTCTGTGAATGAAAGAAATCACCTCAATGTGCATAATGGTGTGTTTGTTGACGTGTAATCGTAGATCGTTTATCATCACTTATTGTCCTGTTTGCTCATAAGTGGATTACAAAGTCTGCTCAATAACAACCTTCTTTTAAAATCTAACAAGTTACCACCGTCATAAATGTAGTTATATTATCCAATAACATCTTTATATAGAAGCAGGTGAGATGCTTTTATGCTCTCGTCAAGTCTGAACTTTGAAACGTTTTTATAGCAACATCATCAAATCTGAGCGACGTGTACAACCAGATTATTTAACTCAAATAATTTACGTTTAAGTCCTCAACAGAATCTAGTAGGTAAAATAAAAATGTGTGTGTGTGTGTGTGTGTGTGTGTGTTTGGGGTCACTGTCAGTTGATGGCCTGTCAGTCATGGCCTGGTGATCTGATTGCCCTCCTCGTTTTCTCTTCCTCCCCCTTTTCAGCACCTTCCTGGTCCCAGCTGCCACTCCTCTCTCACCTCTGACCCAGGCCCAAGGCCAAGGTTGGGAGGTTGTTGCCATAGCGATCCGAGAGCCCTGTGGACCATGATTGCTGACCTCTGGGGTCCCTAAGTAACCATGACAGTGATAATTTGCCTCCCCCCTTTTACCTCCCGCCGGCCTCTCCATGAATACCATGAAGAGAGTTATGAGGCGAACAAACCAAAGAGACCAAACGGATAGATGGACTAATGGACAGACGGACAGAGGGATCGGCTCAAAGAACAAAAGAGCGGCACGTGTGCCACTGACGGCTTTAGAAATGAGTTTTGTTGACCTCTCGACCCCGCCAGAGAGAGCCACCGATTGGATGTAGATGGGATCAGCTTAACAGAAGTGGCTTTTCTTAACTAAACAGCATCAAACTCTGAGAGGTCACCACTCCAGAGACGGGCTTTGAATTGTTATTCAAATACCTGGGACAACTCCAAGCCCTGCTCGGCTTAACGGAGAGAAAAAAGTCATTTGAATTGATCACAAAATAATGCTTTGTTGTGCCAATTTGTTTTATGTTTCCCGTCAAGACTAAACAGCAAATAAGAGAAAAACAAAAGTTACACTTTTTCAAAGGATGCTGCAGACTGTCTTACACTTGGTGTTTGTGTGTGTTTACCTGCTGAAAGGCCTCTTTGGACTTCAACACCAGCTCCTGTCGAGCAGAGCTGGATGTGTAAACGACTGAACGATACTGGGTACCATGGTCAGCGTGCTGCTTCATACCTGCAGAAAACACACAAAGAGAAAATGAGACACTCCACAAACAGGAATAAGAACCACAACCACCAAAGACACAATTTGCATGTAAAAGGTTTTTTGATGTCATCATCCTGCATCTTGAATTCATGCAGCCCAAATGAATTCAGAGATCACAGCAGATTTGGGCTTTTCATTAGGGGAGGCCCTGCGGTGTGTAGGTGTATGTGCTTGTGTAGGTGGGTGCATTTCCTCCTTCTCGTTCTTTGTCAGCCACGTGGCACTGTCGACATTTTTCGTCAGCTTTACATCAGTGTGTGTTTTGGAAGAGGCCCAGGTCTGGAGTACCTTGATGAGGAGGCCAAACAGCTGCCGTCACTTTGCTGCTTTTCAGAAGATCTGGCATCCACAGACCACTACATGGACAGGATTCTATCTCTCTTTACGTCTTACTTTCTCACCCACTCTCACCCCTTGTTTCTAATATTTACTGAACAAATCTGAAATCAGCATTATGTTGTTCTTATATGTTTTTACAATCTCCTTCTCTATTAAGGGTTGTGTTTGCTCTGTAAGGCTTTTACTGCTCTGCCTTTCTGATCGCTGAAAAAAAACATATTCATTCAAAGAAAGGACAATGAGGGAGCAGTGGTGAGTGATTGAGGAATAAAAAGAAGGAAAGAACATCAGCTGTAAAAATACCATCACTAGTTTGATCTGCAGTGTCATATTAAACTATTTCTGTTATTGGTGTCATGTCTGTTTCTTTCCTGACTTTCAATGGACTGTCGTCAAGCAATAAAACAAGCTGTCAACACACCTATCACCTTATCAAACTGATGTGTGAAGGTATAAGCGTATAAGACTTGTCTTTGCATGAGACTCAGAAACAACCCCCCCCCCTCCATCTGAATCATTCACGATCCATTTGGCTTGGTTTTGGTCTCTACCAACACCAGAGGGAAACGCTGTATTCGTCTCTTTGGATGCCAAATGAATGCCAGGGAGAGTGTGGAGTGTATTTTCTTTCTTTCCCACTGCAACTGAAAACAGGGGAATCTGGAAAGATTTCAGTGACATAAAAAATGTTTTAGGCTGCAGGTTGTTTGCACCAAAACAATGAGCTGAAAGATGCCAAAATCACTTCATGAGCTCAGGCCATGTGGAGTCGCAGGGAAACCAAGTTTATACGTATGAAACTGAAATGATATCTTTAAAACAACCACAGAAAAAAAGCATCGTTCACCAGGGACGCTGGTAGAGCAGGCACATGGACTCGTCCTCTTCACACTGAATGCAGGTTTGACTCTCGGTCCCGACGCTACAGTATTCAGTGCATGTCACCCCGGAGCCTGACTCTCTCTCCCCCCATTTCTCCCCCCACACAGGCAAACCCCATACGTATTTTCATGAATTCATTCATTTTGATAATTTTGTGGATATATATTTGAATTGTGTCAACCATCTGAGAGTAATTCTTCTTTTAGGTTTGTGAAGCTGTAATACACATGTTTAAGAGACCTCATAGCAGCAGAGTTATATCTGGATTGAAGTGTCTGTTGTGAGCTGAGAAAGAAATGTGACTCTGAGACTGAAGAAATGTACATGTCTGATATTTACGAGTCAAGGTGATGTCTCCTTTCTAGCCTTTTAGAGATGAACCGAAGCAGCCAGGAATTTATGGGCTGTACCTTCTAGCAGAATATAAGCAACACTGTGAAGATGAAGACTTGGCCACTTTGTCAATGATTGCAAACAATTGTGAGATCTTGGTCAGCGATGGTCCGCACTTTGTCAGCCATGTGTGTTGTGTTTCTATGTTGTCCGACCATGGCTGAATAAATCTATGATCCACAATCTGTTTCACGATTTCAGCATTGTTCATCTACTATAGAAACAACCCCCACCTAACAAATACCCAAAAAGTGATAAAAAAAAAAACACCAAATCATTATTATTAACCAATCACACAGGCCACCGTTAAGCCACATTGTTCCTTAACCAAATGCGTTGCATTCGCCTAACTGCTTGTGAGCTGAAGTCTGTTACACTGTTTTACATTTTGTTCATATACATACTCTCTGTTACACTCACAAGTTGTTGTTTGTTACACATTGTGGGAGACCTGATTCTCAATAAATATGCATCTGGCATATCTGAAATAGGCTTGTCTTCTCCCTGACAGTGATCAGCATATCTTGTTCTCCTTAGATGAAATGTTACCTTACATCATGGAGTGTCACAACCTATCTGTGACACAGTCAGTTCAGATGTAATGGCTGTAAGTATTCATCTGGTCCTCATTCAAATCAGAGCAGACAAGCAGACGTCGCCCGCTCTCCAGCACACACTGAACGCCTCAGAGAATTTGCTTCACTGAAAATTTCATCAACAATATTAAATGCTTGAGTTGTTCAAATATGATTTTGGAGAAAGAGTGCTGTGGAAGATTACCCCGTCGAACAAAGTACATGCATACGAGTCTCTGTTCAGTGCAGAGCTTTTCCTGGAGTATCATTTAAATCAAACCATGCAATATATGTAAAGAAATCTTTCATGACAGCCTTTATTAGACTACTGGACGGAGAAGAAGATTATTCTAAATTTGACAGATAAAAAGGCCACAACATCATCCAACCCTTATCGTCTTTGGCTTTTTAAAAAACGTTTCCAACTCTGTTGTTGGTCAACGGATCTTAACCTCCAAAATAAACTAGATTTAGACTCCATTGTCATGTCATTGGCTTTGCTGGGCCAAAACCAAGCACAGCATCATTTGCCAACATGCTCATGAATGTCAAAATAAGTAGCCACTTGTCATTTGTTAATGTTGCAAAGCTTTGATTTGGTCGCTTTCACATGTGAAGTTTGGTGGACTCGGTGCGACTAAGGGATGAAGTTGCAATGCACCAAAGCATGTTGTGTAGCGTAGCAACCGGCCGCTAGTTGAGGCTGTATCGCCAATTAGCGGTTACTGCCGTCTGGCTGATGCTGCTCTATGACCTGAAAGTAAACAACAGGACAGTGGAGGAAAGGCATCCTGTATTGCGTCGCAGTTCGGCAGTATTTTGATCTATAAAAATGTAGATGTTTTATGTCGGCTGTGTCAGGTTAAACTGGTATATCAACCTGAGCGATGTGTCATCACGCTTTGCACAGGCACGTGGACGTTCACCAACAAGAAGGACTGGACTGAAGCAATGCTGACTTTAGCCACGCTAGGCAAACCTAACCTTGACATTGTTTACAGACGGCCAAATTCAACCCACAATGCACTGCTTTTGATTCACTTCCCTTGTTTGGTTCGGATTGCGTTCTCACCCACGACAAACCAAACTCTGTTGCACTTGGAGGCGAACTGAGACCCCCGTTTTCAAGTGGATCAGAGTTTGGCTCTTAAGTCAGCACAAGAGTTTTGTTTGAGCATTCACACCACCCCATTCAATCGGACCCCCTCACCTTTACCGTGTCAAAAACTCAGCAAATCTGTCTTTCCATCTGGCTCTATTTTCAGAACGCTGTGCTGCAGCTTGTGCTGTGCCTGAATGCATCGAACGTGCTCATATCTTTGGTGAACGAGTACATCTGGAGGTCATGAGTGTAGTTCACTCTGGAGAATGTGAAAGACTTTCTCCCAGAGTTGTCGAGCACTGTGTGCCAAAGTCAGACATGCAGCACCCGGCAGGTATCCGACACGGCGACGGTTTGCTTTTCAAAGTAAAAGCCTACTCTGTTTTTACTGAGACTACCCGCGATTTCACACAATGCTTTTATTCTGAATTTTGCCCAGGACAGTTACTCGGTGAACAATACTATTGCAGGTGGTTTAGCCATACTATCATTTCCTTACTTTGCTAAGTAAACATATTTCACAAAACTTGTACTTCTTCTAATCGATTTTCGTCCATCAATTGAATTAGTCTAACTCTCTGCATCCATCTCTACTCTCGCCTTCTTGCTCTACATCTCTGCAGTGTTGGATGTCGGCCATCTTGCCCCCAGCACTGTTGTTCAGTGACGAGGCTAATGGTGGCCCCTTCATCAAAGGCCACCAAGCCACTCTGCCATTGGCCGCCTGGCAGAGCCTTTGCTCTGATTGGCTGGCCGGCATGGGTCTTGTGGCTTTGCTGTTCCCTCTGACCTTCCCTGCTGACCCCTGAGGTTCTGACCATCCCAACAGCGCACACACACACACACACACACACACACACAAAAGACACACAATGCAGCTATGATTGAGTGTGTATGTGTAGGATCATAGAAGGGTGAAATATGTAACTTATTAAGCGTGTCATTAATAAGAGAATCATATTTCATGGAGCTTCTGGTTTGGCTGCTTTTATTTGATTATAGCGACAGAAAAGCAGAAAAATAATTCATTCTCTACTTTACAGTGAAAGGTAGTCATTTAGTGTCCTTTAAAACTATTAAAGCTGACAAAAAGAAGAAGAAACGTTTGAAATATCAGAGGAAAGTCGAGTGAAAAACCCTTGAGTGGTGGGAGCTGCTTCCAAGACAAAGACAATTAGGATTCATCACATCTTCAGAGATCCTTTAACCGTCTGAAGACGAGTTACTCCCTAATCAAAATATGAACATCATCCAAATCATCAGCCTAGCTTTTGACTATACTAAGTCCAAATCTATCCCAGCAGCTTATGGTCCTCAAAGAACTACAACAGCAACAAATCCACTCCAGAAAAATAAAATAAAAACTTAGATTCCCCCCCCCGCCTCCGCCATCTCTCTCTCTCTCTCTCTCTCTCGCTCTCTCCATTTTTAACAGCCCTCTTCGTTATTTTCTCCATCCATCAAAGGCAGCAGTAATTATTAATGAGAGCCTCCCCATTCTCTCTGCATTATGCATGAAAGCCTTGCCTCTGAAAGCAGAGGGTAATGGGGGGTGGACAGAAGGGGAGGCGCTACCGGTCTCACACGTGCACACACGCATACACACGCCGCCTCTCGGGGTCGCTGACCTACGCCCACAAAGCCAAAAAATATTAATTAATCGCTCCCCTCTTAAA